GTTTCGGTGGGCAGAGTTGAGGAAGGGAAGAAGGGAACTACCGCGCTTACTGCTCCGGGATTGAGCCTTCCCCAAATCCCCAATAAGAGTAGCGTGCTGCTCTTATGGGTGCCACATAGTGCGCCGGCCCGCATCGGGGCCGGCCACCTTAATCCAGGCCGACTTCATGTCGGGCACTGGTCTTATGGGTGCCACATAGTGCGCCGCGTTGCGGTGATACGAGCGGAAAAAGGGATTTGAACCCCCAACCTTACGTTTCTCACACATGGCTTGTGAATGATGTAGCGTAAGCTCACGCCCATGCCTATATAGGCCAGGCGCGCGCTCGAAGCAGAATAACCAACAGGAAAAAGTTATGGGTGCACCCGAGCAGTGGGGCGGAATAGGCAGTTGGACAGCAGGCGACCACTGCGGTGTATTCAGAGAAACCAGTGCCCCCATAGAGTTGCTCCCAGCGAGGCCGTTACGTGATGGCGCAGGGGCGACTCACGGCACACGGAAACGCAAGCAGCACCGCGGACGGCACATGGAAATGCAAGATGAATCTCACGCCCGCGACTATGTTTAAAACTGCCATGCACCCCAAAAAAAAATTCCACAAGTGGACTAATTCTAAGAGCAGTGCAAAAGCAGAACAGGACGAGCGTAGGTGAAAACGAACGAGCACCGTCATCGGAATTTCGGATATCGGCGGACTACAGCCTCTTCGCCCCCGCCCCCGACAAGAATCTTATGTAGGTTGTCGTACATGCAAATCTAATCATAGAGCGCAACATGAGTTGTTCCACTGCAAAAAAAGAGAGTGAGAGAACGTTATTTAAGGGCTAGAAGACACGCTGTCAGGCGGCCACAAGTAGTGCGCCGCCTGAAAATAGCGGTTTTGGGACTTAGGCTCCGGGACAAGTCTATCAATTGATGGTACTCTCGTATGACCAGGCAACAAAAAAAATTAGGGGAACTCAGGGCACCCCTGATTTTGGGCACACTGAGCCTTGCGAGTAATCCTCACAGATGGCGAGATGGGTGGCCGCACTCGACATGTCTAGGGACTGTCATTTCTTGCCGTTCAGAGGGCTAGACCCGAGATGGCCCGCCGCGGGGAGGCATCGGGGRAACTGACCTCGCCACAACGTTTCTGCCGCATACGAGCGGGGCAGTGATGAGGCCTTAAAATTTTGTCTATTTTAGTACCATAATTAAAGATGGGGAAGAGGGATTAAGACCAGTAARGGAGAAGAGAAAAARCATAATATTCCTTATTTCTTTATTTTTCACSGCATTTAATTSTAGGAGGAAAACCCTTGTTATTTTATRWAATCGACAATGAAATTAAAAACATGSGAAAAKATTAAAAATGGTAAAAGAGAAGAAAGATAAAAGGAATTCGGCCATTTATCCAAACTCTCCCGGAATTGAATTTTGGGGAATTTACGGTTAATTTACTGTTTCAGACAATAGAATTGAGGAAAACAAAGAACGATTAAAAACGATGAAAGGGGACTGAAACCCATGACTATTGGGAGATCGGCCTAATTTCGGCTCGATTACCCGCCATCAACTCAGAGCCCGGATTGAACATTTTTCCCCGGATTTTAACAGTTTTCACTGCTGCCGATGGTCGAGGTTCGCTGCATCGCTTTCCCTGGTTTGCTTGATTACTAACATTACCGCGGTTGAGATATTCTGAGAGCAGGAGTCGCATGGGMAGCATGGGAAGGTGCTGCCTTGGGTCGACTATGGTGTTTGGTTCGGTACGGATACGAGGGTTGTTACAGAGTGGCTGCGTCCTACGGTGCCTGATGTGCTTCTGGTACGGTATGGACCCGGTAACAGCTGTCTCACGACGGTGACTTATTTTCAGGTTTGGGACAGCTGCGGTGATTTACTTCCAGGACCGGGGCCACTACGACAGTTATTCYAGGTTTGGAACCTTGGCGGCAATTAGTTTTCAGCTCCGGAAACGTAGCGGCATYYTATATCAGGTTCGGGACAGGTACGTAATTAACATGGCACGGTTATACGAGTTCGGCATCCCCGTGTGCCTTCACGACCCACTTGCAAGTCATTTCAGGAGGCAGAATAAAAGGGAAGGTTCGGTGCAGTGACGAGACAYTATCCACAAAACGGTATTCGGCATCKGACTGGTGTGACGACGGCACAGGCTGTTGAAATTCAGGGTGGCAATTYAGGTTCGGCACGTTCTGCTCGGTATTGACATGGGCCAYAGCCGGCAGGGCGCTATATTCTGTGACCATGGTTGCTGTTTCGGAGTTGGCTTAGTACTTTCACTGGGACGGTGTCGGTACGGGCTACTTCTATTCGTTGTCGAGACKACCGGAATGACCGCTAGTTCGGGCTGGCATGGCATTGCAGACTGGTTCTTGTTTGCAGGTTCGGAATTGGTAAGACTGCTGGGACAGGTACGGCCCAGGTATGGTGATGGTACAGGCCGCAATTTAACGCCACAAGGTTGACACGGTGTGAGTTTTCACGATTCTGGCACACTTATTCCTGGCCACAGACACTGAATTGACGACGGCACGACGCGGCCCCGGGGGGGGGGTGTGTTCCAGTCTGCCTCTTTTGTTTTGATATGGACGGTGGTTTGACCTTGGCGCTGATCTGGTACTGGTGCAGCCACTGCAGTCCGGAGCTATTATGTTTCTGCAAGGTTGCTGGTTCGTAGCTGACAGGGGGCATTGAAGGCGATGCTGTTATCACATGGTACAATACTTGATCCGGTCCGGGGGAAAATTCACTCAGACAGTGATCATGAAACTCATGGAACCGCTGGGCTCTGATCCAAGACTACCGGGTCAAGACTGCGGTACCAACGGGATTACTGCTGCTGGAGACAGGTACACCGGACCCGTASGCCTTGTACCGCTGGAACCAATGGCACCATTCCGTCTCRAGCTAGGTACTGGAGAGTCAGGAGGGYAGTGAGCCTTACTGGTACYTGCAGTTAAGGCCTCGGGGATAGAAGAGCYAGGGGGGCGAGACAACGGGGGGAATTGGAACGAGCGTGGACTAGCGTGCACGGCGTGCACAGAGGTAGAGCTCACTGGGCATGGTACACGTTTCGTACGTGTGGGTGATGATCTATCGAAGAATGGATGCTAAGCAGGGAATGGTGTGGCAAGACGACGRSCAGGGCAGACGGCGCAGGGGGGAGGCSCAGGAATGCGAGCAAGGTGTACCTGCGTCCGACATCGGGGCAGAAGCGTCCGCTCTCGGACGCCTACCCTRCGTGAGTGAGGGGAGTGGGAATCCACGAGGTGGATGAGCTTGTGTGGGTGATTGTTCGCTTGAGGGAGATGGTGAGGAGCAGTGAGAACAGACGGGGGCAGAGGAAGTCGGGCTAGGCGGTCACAGCCCTCTCCATATGGGAAGAGAAGGCAGCCGTGCGGAAGAGAGAGTTCCAGAGAAACAGTCTAACTAAGTTTCCCCGCTGGAGGCGGGAACAGCGAGCTTCAGTGATCTGACCCAATCAGCCCTCGATGAGGGAAC